TCTTTGTTTGTTCTTCGAGAGCTTGTTGCTGTCCCTGACCTAAATATGCCCATGTCTTCGCTAAGAAAGGACACCTGTGTACTACGACTAACAGCCCTTTTGACTAATGGCCGCATCATGAGAATCAGACCCTGTCGCTATGTCTGACCGAATAGCATCAACAGCAGTCGAAGCGGGCAGTTTTCTTAGGCAAACGCCGATTGTCATCTTCAGCCGTCGATAGCGCACAGAATCCGAGAGAGCTTTAATGCGACCAAGAATGCTTAGTTGATTTAAGCCGTACTTGCTCCTACCGGTTATATATCCGCTATTCGTACGGGATACAACTGTATAGCCGATTATTAAGGTTGTTTTTCACACTGGCCTTCAGACAACGGCTGGTAAATGAGAGGAGTCTATTCACGATTTACAAGCTACTGCAAGTGTTTTTTATTGATTATTACTATCTTCTATCCCAAATACAGTTTTGATTGTGAGGAAATTGTATTCTTCTCGTGGATGGTAACTTTGTTCTGGCTATTAAATACTATTTCTGATTGTTCTAGTGCTACGAATTGTGATGATAAGTGTATCATTAATGCTAATAGTAGTTTCGTTGCACTGCTGTTGATCGTAGCAGTTTTGGTATTAGTGTCACTGCCAGTATTCTTGACATTTTACTAATGTTCCTCGTATGCTGGTGCTCATACTAGTTCCAGATTTAGTACTCTTGTTTTTATTGTTGTTATTACAAAAACTGATATCTGTACTACTGCCGACAGTGCCAATATTAGCATGACTACTAGCATCAGTCAAAGTGGAAGCGTTTTAGTGATAGTGGTAAAGATGAGAAGCGAGTCACTCAGTCGTGATTTAAACCCTTGTTCCTAATCCCATGGACTGCAGCCTGACGATCTATGGAACCAGTTCTCCTGAACTATTTGTTTTTTACAGAGTTCGGCCATGGCATCTCCAGTGTAGTTTTTCACCATGTACATATGTTTTTATGGATTTACCTAGAGATAACGAACTTGTGTTTTACAGTAAAGTTTTACAGCAACCATACTTGTGATGACATGACATATTGATTTGACTAGACTTGGTTAAACTTATTCGGGATTTCCTTATTGATGCGACAATTGTCGTTATCCATTCGGAGGAATGATGATGCAGATGTTTTGGCCGCGTTATTCAGCGGCACTTCTGGGCCATCCAGATTGTTTTTATGATAGTTTCTCTCCTATTCCTAGTATCATAGCGGAACATCCGTCGTTCGCAGTACGCGTTATTTGGAGAGAAGACGTGATGATGAGAGAACGCTCTGGTTTCTTAGTGTGAATAATGACAATTTCGACCTTATCTTTACGCAGCGTCTTGAAGAGTTTCTGACTTACCTTCGCGCGTAAAGAACATGCGCCTTTTAATTTATTATGCGAACCAGTGCTACATTTCTGTTCCATTGGACGGCATGAACGCCCACATCGAATTCTTAACTTCACTTGAAATTTTGGTCATTTTTGTCATTTGAAGTTGCGTTCTTTTGTATTCATTGTTTTCCTCAAGGGCAGGTTAATTATGAGAAACTTTAAGCTTAATATGTGCTTTTCTCACGTAAACGTAAGTTCAGGTCACGAGGGATGGCATTACTGTTCATACGGTTGAACACATGATTCATCAAAAAGTTCTTAATACTCCTGTGAAAGTGTCATCATTGGCATTATGTTTATACTGCCTACAAATCAAAAGCTTGTGACAGGTCGACTTTTACTTTCACGTCATGAATTGTTGACCAAAAACGTTTCTTCTAACACATGTGCCATATCGCTCCTTCACAAATGATGCAAAAGTAGATGAATGACAACACCCGGTGTCGACGCGTTGTGTTGTTTGTTTACATTATGACTAATGCGTTTTAACGTATATTTTCCTTTCCGTAAATAATATTGTTTTTATGATGGGATGTGTAATATGAATCGCGTTAAATATAGCCGCAGAAATGATGTTATCGCGTAATTCGTCATTTAGTATGAATAAGTGAATAACAGCGATGGACTGTGTGTCATGCGGTTGCTGCATTGCTGCACGAAAAATGCCGTTGTTGCTCTGTTTGATAAAAACGTTACAAGGTTTAGACCGACAGCTTCGAGACTTTCCCATAAGTTAGGCTTTATTCTAGACAAGCTATGAATTTGATCGTCATTTTCCACATCTTTCTTCAGCTTGTTTCGTTGCCTGTCGTAATATATTTTTTTGTGCTGTAAAGCTGATCAGATTTAAGTTCATTGTCATGGTTGACGAGTACTATTTTTAAGCACTACTCGATGCAGCAAGTAGTGGATGACGTTTTATTTCCAGACGATATGACATTTTGGTGTATGGTTAATTGGTTTGTTTTTGGCGTGGTATGACTGTCACTATTGCTGTGATTATAGGCTTCAGCATCAGCTGTTGAAGCAAGAAACAGTCTTAGAAAGCAGCTGCAACTGAAAAGTCCCCTTGTAAGGCGAAATATTTAAATTAGTCGACTTTCCACATTGTTTCTCCGCTCTTCTGCACTAGTAGATCAATCAGCTGGTGTTGTGATCAAGGAGAATACTCATCGCGGCACCGCCACTTATGACGTGATTCACTTTGCTTACTGAGTTTTGAACGGACTTCGGTAACTTACTGAGTGTTGGAGAATGCATTCGATTACTGAATAAGTTCTACATGTAGGTGCTTTTAGTACTGTCGAAACAAGGTCATCAATGTCGGAATAAAAACAATTAACAATAAACGCATGTTTTCGACTTTGTAAAGTTGCAAACTTAAAAACTGTTTTTTTTTCACAATGTTGTAGTAACTTTAAATTAATTTCTTACGTTTTTATTCAGGTAACCACAGTATAGAAGGTCAGCACTGTGCCGACAACTTTTTCCAATGTACTGATGGCAAGTGTATTCCGCGGGCTTGGCTCTGCGATGGCGATTACGACTGCGTCGAAGGAGACGACGAAAAAAGATGTGGTGAGTAGCAGTTAGCTCTCGAAACATGTTTCTTTGCCGCCGTTGTCAAGTTTCGGTCGCTGCGTCATTTTCATTCTATGGATTATGGCTGTACACTTAATGATGGTAAATTGTTAGAAATGAAGCTAGACTCTGGGTGCCTTGTTGACTAAAAGTCTACCCCATTCATCGCAGTAACGAAGGGTCCCGTACGCTAGTCACAGTTTCCAACAGCTTGTTTTCCGAATGTATTGTACTGTTTTTAGCATATTCGCTTATTTACTATTTATAATTTGTCATTTACAATTTAACATGCTATCTAATTTTGTAACATGTTCATGTAGCAGAGCAGTATATATTTAATACATATAACATGATGGTGTATAATTTAAAATTTCAGCTCTGCTCCCTTCTTTTCAGAGTTGCATCTTCCGCTGATCGGCGTACTGTGCGGTCAGCTATCAAGTGGGTGGACGCGCAGTTCTGCTCTATGTGGTGTTCGCATCAGACGACATGCCCGTACATCTCGCACATTCTCCCATGACCACGCCAGAAAATCAAGCTTTCCTTGTTCGAAAGTCAAAATTTATTCCTGTAAAGCAATGTGGAATAAATTCCTTGCTCAGTAGAATTCGCGGTTAAGATTAAGATCATCCGTTCTCCGGATTCGAACGCGATGCCTCCTTAGTTGGAAGCTCTCGTTTTTGCATTTTTTATGCTCTACCAACATTTTTGCGCTATAATGCGGGACGATGTCGCTCAGAACCTTTCTTTCAAAGTTGTAATCCATGTGGTCCATTCCTAGACAGATAGATAACTTCAACCGATCAAGGACCTTGCTCACGATATTAAGACTACGGATTCGAATTACGATAGAATTGCACGTCTTTTTTCCTTCCAAAGTATGTAAGTGAGTAACCCTATGTGGAAAGAAAGCGTGACTGCACATGAAGTCGTCGCCCTGTTTATAACAATATCTTATACATATACCATATTTAATCATATGGCTCGTAGTACTGTGCATAACATGTCTTGCTTTTACAGAGTACATGCAGCATATATGTTACTTTTATTGCATATTATTCCATATATGCAAGTAATAATGTTCATTCACATTGACACATATTTTTTCAAGGTGGTTTCACAACTGTGGTTTACAATGTAAGAGAAGAATTCTAGTTGCTTGGGTAAACTGGTTGGCTATTAGATGTATAAAGTACAGATACACACGCAGTAGGCCCAGATGTGGCAGATATTTTGTGAAATTGGTAGTCTAGTTTTTATGTACTGCATTTTGATAAATATTTTATTTTGTTTGTTGTTGTCCATTTAAATATACGATGTAAAATATTTAGAATGGAAGGTTTGCATGCCAAATGAATTCAAGTGCAGGTCGGCGAAGTGCATCTTAATGAACTGGGTTTGCGATGGCGATGACGACTGTGGTGATAATTATGATGAACGTCCGGAACTGTGCAGTAAACAATTTTCCTTATGATTTGTCATCGTAGTTGATTTGTGTGATGTTAACATTTTTTGTTTTAAATTTTCATCTTAGTGTAACGGGCTCCATGAACAGTTGTTGCCATTCATTGTGCTATAGTTTCGATCAGGTTTTTTTACTGGCCAAGAATCAGTCTTCTTTACACTGGCTGGCGGATATAAACACTAACCAACGAAATAGGTCATCAAGAGGAGAGCAGTTTTAATGTAGGCAAGCCAGTTAGATCGGCATGGAACAGCTGTCGGAATTCATGCCCGAGTGAATCCTCGACGAATCTCCAGGAGGATATCCCGTAATTTGACATAGTACGCATTCACTCTATCACTTGCCCGGCTGGATTATTTTTAGCCCTTATGTAAAAAATTGCTATACCCCACAGTCCGAGGTGCATAGTCGGTACCATTGACTTCAGTGACAGTCTAAATTGACTGTAACTTTGACTTCGGTCCATAGACGAAATGATGACTAAAATTTTAGAATCTAGTAGATTAGTCTTGAAACGGGTTTACCAGAAATGTGTTTCCTTACGTACCGGAGTTGCTCGCTTGTGTTGAAGTTGTTTATCGCATAGTCAAAACGAAAAATGTTTTTCTGCGGAATGATTTAGTCTGTTAATGGGAGGCAAGTAAATGGGGCTAAACAGTTACTTTTGTAAGAATCTGATAGTCTTAAAATCACATGAGTGATTTTGGGTAAAATGATCCAAATAGCCGTAAGTATATGAAGGAAAATGCTTGTAGATAAAAGCTTCACAGTATATGTTGCTACGTATGTTAGTCGGTCATTTAATGAGTTATGGGATTTTTTTTTCGCGGTTGAAATTCAGTTTTTCAATTCTGACCATTCGTTCATTGGTATCCTCTTCTGATCAGAGAATACGACGTAGTTTCATGATACTCTCTTTGGAATAACTACATTTAATCATGTTTTTTTTCTATCGCAGTTTGTACTCAGACTCCCTTCTATGAAAGTTCACTTAAAAACAAAAATCTGCGCGCCATTTCATTCATCTTGACAGACTTTCTCTGCCTGTGCGAGGGTGAAAAAAATTTAGCCTCGTCAGCAAATCTTAGTTTTCAGCCGTTAACTGCTGTACACACCTTAGCCCATTGGGTCACTCAGTCAATCTATCATTAGCTAAGGCTAAGTCATGTAAATCACTCCCTTACATGTCATTTTTGCTACAAAGCTCATTATTGCTTTTAGAG